CTGTCAGCATGGATGGGAGGAGAGGTCCAGCCATGGCCTTTACTTTTTGGGGTGCCATGGGTCTCAGTTCTCTCTCCCTCTTCTGTTTAACATCTACATGAAGACATCGGATGAGGTCATTGGTATGCTAATGATGCTCAGCTTTTTATCTTCATTCCAGGCCTCTGAAGGATGCCTTGAATGTCCCATTCCAGTGGTTGGAGGATGTTGGGGCCTGGAAGAGGAGCAACAGATTTCAGCTGAACCCAAGCAAGACCAAGTGAATTTGAGCGTTTAGACCTTCTGCTGGAGATCTTCCATTTTTTCTAGAAAGGGTGGCACAGTACCAAACAGATCCAATGTGTAATCTGGGGGGGGGGGTGTCTTCCTGAACTCATGGCTCCTGCTCAAGAGTGTAGTATCAACCCTGAAGTTGAAGAAAGCAAAGCTTTCAAGTTGCCAGCTGGCTGAGGCCATCTTGGAGGCTTCAGGGTTGCCACACAACAGAGGGAGGGGGGCTTTGTAGCCAAAACAATAAAGCTTTCCTGTGGAAACCAAGGACATTCACACAGGTGGCTGGCCAGGGGAGGAGTGAGTAACCAAGCAACCAGCCAGCAACTGGATTGGACAGCGTGACTGGTGACTTGGGGGAAAGGGGAAACTTTTACTTTTTAATTAGGTGAAAGCCGTGGGAACTTCAGCGTTGGCTTTCACCAGTTGTGCCAATATGATGTTTCCAATAAATTGTTCTTTCAGGAACTTGGCCTGCCTCAGAGTTCTCCTTTCTGTGGGTACATCACTTGGAACACTGACACGTAGAAGGGCCTTTGCACACTTTTGGTTACTGCATTAGTTCTGCCCATACCTGGACTGGGAAGTCTTGCTCCTCGTGCCCTTGTGATCTCTCATCCAGACTACTGCAAAGCAGTTCACATGGAGCTACCTTTGAAGAGTGTTTGGAAGCTTCAACTCCTGCAGAATGTGATGGTGAGGGCAGTTTTTTCCAGCTCTATGCCAATTCAGTTATATGAGTCTGGGGGCAACTCTGGGCCCAGAAAGAGCCCTTTCTTGAGAACATTCTTCCAATGGTGATCAGGATGGCCAATCCAGCTGGCCTTCTGTGAGCTCCTGAAGACCCATCTCTGGATCTGGCCTGCAGCCCCAAGTGCCTGAAGAAAATGCAGGTAAGTCCATCAGACTTGGCCTTCTGAAGCTTTGTGTGATGCTCTCTTGTGTATGCTTGCAATGTGGCACCTGATTTCTCTTTTCCACATTTCTCGCTCAATTTCTCTTCTATTTTGATTCCTCAGCCTTACCGGTTGAGAAGCCCCAGTCCAGATCTAAGGCTGAAAGGGAGCCATTTCCTGTCTGGGGCAGAAAGCAAGCTAAAGTCCCATATCTCCCTGCAGGAGGTAGCCTGAAGCCTCTTCTGCTGGGTCTCCTCCTGACCCAAAATGCTGGGAGTCCTGAGGAGAGCCTCGCTCCCTGCCCCACTCCCAGCCCGATATTGCCCAGGGTCCTCATTACATGTCCCTGATGGTCCTTAAAACACCCAGAAGCTCCCCTGCAGCTACAGCGACGTGAGGGTGACTGAAGCCCTCTGAGGAAGGCAGAATCAGCTCCTCTCCCTTGCTCTGCCATTCATGGCCCTCTTGAAATGGCATTCAGAGGGTAATTATGCCATTAATTACATTGTGCTCCTCTGCAGGCTCAGTCTGAGGAGAGCTGTGCCCTGAATTTGCATGAAAAACACAGAATGGGATGAGAGATTAGTGAGCCCTTCCATGCATTTCTACATGCAATTATTAGAGTGTCCAGGAAGGGGCCAGGCCTCCTACGACTTTCTGCTCTTAGAGCTCAGGTTCATCATCAAATGGCTGAAAGACGCTGTCAGTGGCGGAGACCCTATTAATAAAGAGATGGCTGGAGAAGGATATGTCTCCCCCAGGTAATCAAGGTGAATAAGGTCTATTTGCTCTGAGGTTATCCTACCTTGCCAACTGATTTTTTTTTCTTTAAATGGCTCACAGAAACTGACAAAAGTGAGTCCCATTGCAGCTTGGGCATCCAGATTCTGGCTTGCTGAGATTCTGGGATTCCATCTATCTTCCCCTGATTATGCAGCGTGCAACTCTGAGCAAAATCATTTACAGCTTCAATTAAAAGGGAGCCCACTTAGCGTTGAGGAGGGGGAGGGCGGGTAATTAATGCTTGAAGGTTGTTTGGGGGGGAAACTTGACTTCAAAAAATGCTTTCAATAACTGTAAGTGGTGATTACTTTCTGAAAGTGTGCTTAAAAATGTATTACTTTTAAATTACCCTCTCAAGCCTTTTCTCCTATTGGAAAATGACTTCTTAGCTCATGTTTGTACAGGATAAGCCACAATTCCAAGGGAGAATGAAGAAGCAAAGGATGGATGGCCGAGTGTTCCTTCCTCACTAAATAAATAAAAAGCATAGTGTAGAGTATCAGACTAGGGCTACCAGATATTTGGGTTCCAATTATCCATCCCCATAAAGCATATTCATCTTCCAATGTACACAAGCGTGGGAAATGCAACATCAGAGCTTGATTTCATGACGAAGGACTTATTTCGATAACAGCCTCACCAAGATCCATTCCATGTCTTCAAGAGAGGAACGTCAGAATTCCAAATATCTATGGAGGTACTCAGTCATTCAGGTCATGGTTATCCCAAAGGTGCTTTTTCAAGAGGCAACTGGACTTTCTTCAGAACTGTCCAGTTGCCTCTGTCCAAGCTTCTTGGATGAGAAGTGAAACATCTTCAAGAAAAAACAAAGAGAGCCCAGTTGCCTCTTGAAAAAGCACCTTTGGGTCAGAATTCCAAATGCTTCAATTCCCATGAAAGGGTGACTGCCTTTTTAAGCTCATTCTCCACGAGTTTGCATCTCCCATTAGCAGCATATATCTTGGGGTGCAACATTTTTCTGGCAGTGTTACATGGCAGGCAGCTTGCTGGATACAATGGGAGCCAAAGTGAAGAACTGAACTTGCTGCTGAGAAACAAGGAAAGGGATCAGAAAAAGAAGAAAAGAGATAAGAAGAAAGCCTGATCTCTGCCTGACTGCCACACCTCTTGTGAAAAAAAATGCATGGCCTCAGTGATGGCCAGAAGTGCCTGGCTTCTTTGGCCTGGTATGTCCAGCTGTGCCAGGGGTGGGTTCTAAATTTTTTTACTACCGGTTCTGTGGGCATGGCTTATTTTGTGGGTGTGGTTTGATGGTCATGTGACAATTCTTTAGGATTTAGCAGAGGTACTGGTCTACCAGGCTTTTAACTGCTTGCAGAGCTGTACCGGTCTACCCATTTGTTTTTGGAGGCACCGGTCTACCACCACACTGCCTTTTAAGACTGATCAGTTGTTGGGTGGCCCTTTGAAGCCCCGCGGCAAGAGTTTAAACAGTTTTTTTCCTTCTAGCCATCAGCTGGGACTCGGGAGGCAGCGAATAGATTGGGGGCGGGGCCAAATAAAAGGTAAGAATAATGCGGGCGGGGCAGGAGGGCCCAGCTCCCAAACAAAGAGAACCGGTTCGGTGAAGTCATATCATCACCGCTACCGGCTCGGCGGAACCGGGCGGAACCGGGAGGAACCCACCTCTGAGCTGTGCCCATATTTGGAAATATCAAATCTGATTGTGATGAACCAGAGAACTGCTCTCCCTTGCTCGTTCCTCACTTCTGTCAAGCATTCAGAAACATCACCTGCCACAAAGTGTTTGGAAGCAAGATAGCAATAGCACTTCTGCTTGGCTTCATATTGCGTTGTTCAGGCACTTCTGCTGGGGCCTTCCTGAAGATTTTCCTTAATAAAGGAGAATATCTATAGCTCAGGGTTGGAATGAGAAGTCTTTGTGCTTTCTGAGCTTTGTAGTTTTTATGCAGATATTTGTTACTCATCGGTATTAGTAAGAAATTGGGTTTGCTCACAATTTATATTCTAGCGGCTTGCCCTGTGAATGTTGGTGGGAGCAGTCTTGGAGGTTTTTTGGTTGGATTGTTTAATGTTAGCTTGATTGACAGTTTCTTGATTGTTTGATTCTTAATTGATGGACTGATCTTAATCTTGGAATTAATCTATGCTCAACATCTAGCATAGATCTCATCATGTTACTTAGTTTGGGTAATGAAACATCTGCAAGAAAACAACTAAGCTCAGAGAGCACCCAGGATACTGCATTTCCTTAAGACAAAAGTACCCTGGAAGCAGTCCAGAGCAGGGACAGGGCTGCCCTGCTTTGCTCTTTGGATGGGGGGGGGGGGGGGACTTCATTGCTTCCCAGGACAACTTCAAAGAGGCACTTCACTCAAGCATTGCTCAAGTCAAGCCCAGTCCTGAGCAGATGGGTGGTCTGATAAAGGCTTGGTATGTTCGGTGAAGCCAGACAGCATGGCCGTAAGTCATGTAAGTATGCCTGCAGGAGATGACTAGGCTGAGCCTGAGGGAGAGGTCAAATGCATCATCAGTTTGGAGTTGCTACACCCCCAAAAGAGACCCAAGTCCAGTCCCCCTTGAAGTCCATTGATTCTTATCTGGTGCCAATTCACATTGACCGTTAGTAGATCCAATTCTTGTATATAGGTGACATGGAATAAACTCACAGTGCTTTTGAAGTCCGTGGTGGCTCCTGGTTTCTTGAGCCTGACAGCAGCCCTTGATTTAGTGCCCTGTGCAACCCCTGACATAGTGTGTGAGTGAGAGGGCAGAAATAGTGCAATCAGCTTCTTTTTTCCCCCATAGACCCTGAATTTCCACAGCCAAAGTGTGTTGGAAAGAAAGATAGGGTAAAGCAAAATTTCCCCAATTCTTGTTTATATCTGACCATTGTTACAGATTTTACCTATTATGCTTACATTTAGTGGTTTCATAGTTTGCATTGAGTATGGTTTCTCATGGAATTTCATGCCAGTTTAAACAAGTATTTTAGGAAGCAAATGAGGAAGAGAAAAAGAAGGATGCTGCGAGAGAAAGTTCCTCTGATGGAAAAGGCTTCTCACTTACGTGGTCAATCAGTTCCCTTATCATGCCATTCCACTGGCCCTTCTCATCTTGGGCTCCGTACTTCCCATCCTCCACCAGTCGAATCTCATAGGAGAAGCCAAGGATGCGGGAGACTTCTGAGAGGAGATCCACGCAGTAGCCTTCAAAACGCCTGTTCCCAGATAGAACCATGTCCGACTTTGCAAACATGACAAATGGCTCTTCCTAATGGCCAGAAAAGATAACACAATCACATGAAGTACACAGGTATTGAATTCAACACACACACACACACACACAGAGAGAGAGAGAGCGAGAGAGAGAGAGAGAGAGAGAGAGAGAGAGAGAGAGAGAGAGAGAGCCTGAGCCAGGGAGTTGTGTCCCCCAAGCATATGGCCAGCTGGCATTAACCTCTTAACCAACTTGATCATAAAAACCCCCACATCCCAGCATTACGATATGTAGAAATAGCTACGCTTTGCAGGTTTGGCTGATCAGATTCAAGCAAAGTTAAGAATTCTGAAGTGTCACTAAAAGCACACTGGCTTCTTACGTTGGATTCTGGCTCTTAGTGCTCAAACATATGGCAGAAGACCAGGTTGCTGGTGGATATCTCTCTTTGTGTCCAGTCGAGCACTTCCTCACATATACAGATTTCTGCATCCATGAAACTTTGAACTGTTCTTTCTCCACATTATGTAGAAGTCAACACTCAACTCAAAAAACAATGGCTTGCACTATCCAATAGTGTTAGAATATTAGTGTCCAGACCAGATGACAAAAGTTTGTGACCAGAGTCTGTCTCAAGAGTAACATGACTGAGAAATGTGGACAGTATCAGGAACGGATCCCACGTGTTATGAAATTGGCAAAATGGTCAGATTTGTAACCCATGTCTGGGAGCACCTGGAGGCACCTGACAGCCTCCTGAACCCCAGGAGGCTCCAAAGCCGCCCATATTATACACCAACAAAGCAGCCATGGCTCTGTGCAAAAAGGTTTCTTCCTTCAGCACTCTCCAACACAGAGTCATTCCTGAACTCTGCAAGGCACATATTCAGAGGCTGTTTCACAATTTATTAGTGAAATGGCCAGGCTTTCAATTTGCAAGCTTTCAATGCTTGCTAATAAATTTATCAGCAAAAGTGCCCTCAATTTCAAGATCTTCACAGTTCTTCTAGGGCCTGGGGAAAGCAGACCCGTCTGTTGGGCAACACGAGGCTGTTCCCAACATGTTGCTGCAATATATGAGCAGAAGGGTGTGAAAGGGAGGGAGGGAGGGACTGAGGCAGCCTTCTCCTTTCTTCCCCTTTCCCCACCAGCAGCATTATTACACACAAAGTAGCAAAGAACAAGAGAGCATCTCCCTCCCTCCCTCTCTCTCTCTCTCTCTTTCTCTCTCTCTCTCTCTTTCTCTCTCTCTCTCTCTCTCTCTCTCTCGCTTTCTCTCTCTCTCTCTCTCATTCTCTCTCTCTCTCTCCCCCCCCCTCGAAATTGTCTTTGCTCTCATGTAAGAAAAACAAGCTCTACAAACATCAAGGTCCAAATCTCTCCATTAGAAACGGCCTCTGAGGAGCTTGAGTAACAGGACCAAGGACAGAAAAAAAAAAAAAAAACCCTAGCAGGTTTGGGGTGAGTGTCTGTTAGATTTTTCCATAGCTGTTCCCAGACCCAAGTCAGTTCTCTCCCTTCCAGTGCCCCTTTTCATCACTTTGATAAGTTTTCTTACTCACCAACAAAGGCCCAGGAAGACACTTCACTGTGTGTGCTGCAGAAACATGAGTTTCCACAGAAGTTTTCACAAGAACTAGCATCAAGATCCAATATTTTAAAAAGAAAGCATTGTTATTTATATGATTGGTCACACAGTCAGCCAGATGGTCAGAGTGGAATTGACATTTTTGTCCACCTATGGAGGACTTCCCAAGGACCTGGAATAGACAGATGTGGATATTTGTGGTGTTAAAGCAGGGGTGTCAAACTCAATTTCATTGAGGGCCGCATCAGGGCTGTGGTTGACATCGGGGGGGGTGGGGGGCGGGCAGATGTGGCCGACTGGGTGGATGAGGCCAGCTTGACACCACTCTCCAAACTGCTGGCATGTTTCCTCTTCGCATTGGGTAGACCAGGATGGCCCCCGCGGGCTGGATCCAACCACATTATCGGAAGTCCTGTCCTGTTCTTCGTGCCGGCCATGCACCCCATTGCCTGCCAGTGCCAGTGCCACTTGCGGCCAGACCCGGCTAAGAGGACAGCCTGCTGATGAGCTTCAGGCTGGTGCTGTCCTGATGTGTCCTGACATTCTCCTGGCCTGTCACCGCTGTCACCGCCCTGGGCCGGCCGAAGCTGCTCGGAAGGCAGCTGCCACAGCCTGTCCTTGCTACTTAAAGGCAGCTTCCAAAGCAGGAAACGTTCGGGCAAGTCGTCTCCTTCTCAGAGAGCATGCACACATCTCACAGCACCGGGACCTTCTGGGCATGCACCGTCTCCTCACAGAAGATCCTGACGCTGTGAGGTGCATGTGCCTGTTTGCTTGAGGCCGAGAAGGAGGAGAAGACTTGGCTGAACTTTTCTGCCTCCCTCTCTTCTGACACTGGCCAGGCAGGTGAGCAACCTCCTGACCAGTGAGGCAAGTGTTATCCCAGCAGGGCCATGCTAGCTTCAGGCTAGTGCTGTCCTGATGTGTCCTGCCACAACCGCAGCCGCAGCCTTGCTCGCTGTTGGACTTGCCAGCTCTGATAGTTGCAGCTCCGTGCCCTCCCACCCCCCCAGGTATGGCAAGCCCCAAATTGGGACTTGACAGCATGCTTTTCACTCCAAGCAGCCCGGACTTAAAAATGCATGACTGGGGTGGAGGAGAAATCCTTTTTAACAAGCTCAAAACTGAGTTGCAAGTCTGGGTTCCTCGCACAAGAGCTTGAAGTCCTGTACTCTGGCACACTCATCTCTGTTTCCCTCTATGACTAGCCTTGGAAAAAGCCTGCCCTCATAATTGCATGTCTGCAGCCAGAGCTGGGCTTGCAGCTCTTGTGCGGGGAATTCAGGCTTGCAGCAAAAGTTTTGAGCTTGTTAAGAAGGACCACTCCTCCACCCTAGCCATGTGTTTTTCAGTCTGGGCTGCTTGGAGTGAAAAGCATGCAATATTCGGCCGCTCCCAGGATTCCCTGCACGAGCGCTAGAAGAAAATTAGCCAAGCTCCCAATGCCTGAATTGGCGAGCTGGAAGAGAGATTCACTGTCATGCTGGTGAGTACATATGGACTGAGTAGGCTTTTTGTTCCCCCCCACCTCCCCATCCCGATCCAGCGTGGTGTGGAAAACAGGGTGTTTCCTTGGGCCCTTCTCTTTCCCCCCCCCCAGCCTCCTTTTGCTAGTATTCGGCAGGCAGGCAATACTCTTTAAAATGGGCTTTTATTTTGCCAGCCCAAGGGTGGAGGGGAGGGGAAAGTAGGAAATCTCCCTGTCTCTGCAGCATCGGTCATGTGATTGAGTGGACATGGCCAACATTACTCACAGCAAGGTGCTGCCCCACCTTGCCATGAGTGACATCAAGTTGGCCACACCCACCCAGTCACATGACCACCTAGCCATGCCCACAGAACCGATTGTTAAATTATTTGAATCCCACCATTGGTCTGATGTGTTATGTGGCAGGCGCTTGTCTTTGAATTCTAAATTCCAGAGCATTTAAGCTTCTTTATTTTCTATGACTTTGCCTATTCTTTAGTCCCACTAACTCTTGCTTGCGAGCAAATGATATTTCTTGTAGATCTTCCAAAGCACCATTGTTGCTACTTTGTCGTGCTGTTGTTTGTAGATAGTCTGTGCGATCTTCTTGCAGAAGCTAAGCAGATGGTCCACTGTTTTTTCAGCTTCTCTGCAAAGTTGGTGTTTGCTGTCTGTTGATATCCTATGAAAGAAAAATCTGAGTCCTTTCAGATCTTTAAAGACTTTGCTGCTCTTGTTTATACCCAACACGGAGTAAGCATCGCCAGAATTCAAAGTGATTGTGGTGCTGAATTCATGTCTCAGCGGTTCCAGGACTGGATGTGTAAGAATGGAATTCTTCATCAGACCTCAGCCCTTATACATCGGCGCATAATGGGGTGGTAGAAAGGCGACAAGGGGTCCTGCAAACCATGATGCATTGTCTCCTAGAAGACGCCAACCACAGTATCCCATACTGGGGTAAAGCTATTAAATATGCAAATTATATTGTCAACCATACTTGGAGTAGTGTAATAAATCAGACTCCTTTCTTCATGTTGTAAGGGTACAAGCCCGATCTCAAAAACCTCCATATTTTTGGTTCATACGCTACGGTGAACATTCCCTTAGCTCAAAGAAGGAAAGGAGGTCCAGCAGCAAAGAGGATGAGATTTACGGGTATTGATGATAATTCAAAATGGATCAAATTTATTGACTCCAAACATGTAGTAATTATTTCCCAATCCGCTAATTTTGAGGAAGATGCTGACTGGTCCAGGATTCATTCCAATGATCCTGGAGTTTATTTTCCTAGAGATGATGTTGCTGATGCCTCACAGTCTGATGATCAAGATTCACAGGCAAATGTTCCATCCACTAGTTTTTCTCAACCTGATGTTCCGTCTTCGCAAGCCGCTGATGCTGACGCTAGCGATGATGGTGAAGACGAGGACAAAACGGAAGAAGAATGGATGGCTGTTCCGAGGTGTTCCAAATGGGCCACAAAGGGGATCCTTCCAAAGCGATATTTGTGGCAACTGACAAAAGCACCCTTGCCTTTGATTTGTACTGTTACACTTCCTCCTGATAAGTTCACACAAATCAAGCATCTTCCTGATTCAGAGCAAGAGAAGTGGTATGAGGCAATGCAGGCTGAAATGGACAGTCTAAAGAAACTTAAGGTGTTTATGCCTGCAAAACCTCCAGCAAACAAAAAAGTCATTGGCACCTGATGGGTCTACAGAATCAAGAAGAAGCCAAATGGTGAGTCGTTGTACAAGGCCAGACTTGTAGCTCAGGATTTCACTCGATGTTATCCTGAGGACTACACAAATACCTACTCACCGACAGTCCGGACTGAGAGTGTAAAAATTGCTTTAGCCACTGTCACTATTCTTGGTTTAGAAGCTTTCCAGTTCAATGTTGACATGGTTTATCTACATGCTGACCTGGATGAGCAAGAAGGGGATACCTGGTCTGTATGGTCTGAACCAGTCTGGTTTAATGTGGTACTTATGT